TTTAAAATTAGTCGACCTAAAAATGACCGTCGCGGCGACGTGATCGACGACGTTCGTGTTTTTAAGAATCGCACGCTTCCGACACATTTGTTTTGAACTGAGAAAGAGCGAAGGAGAAAGACTATAGCTGCTTTTTAAATTCGATAAACACTGCCAAACCGCTATTGCACTTTTTCGTTTTATACATTTTATAGGTATATATATATATATATATATGTATATATATGTATATATACGAGTATGGATTTTTGTTCGGATAAACCAATTTTTTTGATGGACAATTCGAAAAAACGGATTATTCGGGAGGGAAAAAAAGAAAAAAAAAAAAAATGTAAGATTACGAAATATATTTATTCGTGTATATTTAACTATTATTATTATATGGTGACGAAAAAAAGTTGATTTATATGCAACGAAAATTCAGTGTTGTTGTTTGAAGAAAAATGTGTAATGTTTATATAAATTTTCAAAGAATACATACTGCCATTTTTCAACGTCTTTTTATTCTCATTTGAAAAAAGAGCTATAGAATCATTCTTCTGGTTAATCGTACGTAATTATTTTCTAAAATTTTTCTCTCCTCTTGTCTTGTATCCCTTTCTCTATGTTTTTTTTTTCTTTTTTTAATCAATTAGTTAATATTATAGGATAACAAAAAAAAAAAAAGAAAAAAGAAAGGAACAATTAGAATTTTTTCTTTTTTTTTTTCTTTAATTACGTTATTAAAAAGAAATATCGTAATTTATCGTTTCGATTTACGATTTATTTATTTGCGAAACGTGCTTTTAATTTTCACGATTGAATATTTCGAGATTCTTCTGTGATAATATCTGTTCGTTGGTCTATAATTTAAAGAAGACTAATAACTTCGATAATCGATCGTTTGTTCATTCACCAAAGATGAAATATCGAGACCGTAAAAATGAAAAAGAAGGTCGGTAAAAATCTATTTATAACAAAGGAGATTAATTTCCGATTTATCGATCGAATCAAACTGACCCACCGTTTACTCGCACAAGAATCGACGGTCGGTAAAAGAATATTTCGCCAAATCGATCTGCGACTTATCGGGAAGAAGAAAAAGAAGAAAAAAAAATTGCCTCGAACGAAAGACAGAAAAAAAATGCAAGAATACAGAGAAAGAGAGTTGGAATACCTCTTTTCCATTCTTGCTTATGTCGAGTCCATCACCGCACATATGCACGCCCGATATACGCCTGAGCGCGTACGGTTGCCTCGAGTCCCAAAATTGAATAGTGTTGTCCCAACCGCCGCTGATCAACTCGTGTGCCGATTTTGGTCTGAAACACGCGCTGAACACTCTGGATTTATGACCGTCCATAACTTCCAACGACTCGCTACGATAAATAACAATAACAATAACAATAATAATAATAATAATAATAACAACGATAAATTAAATTAAATATCTCGCCATTGTATCATGAGCTTATTATCTCTCAAACTGCTCGAACGAATGGTTTGTCCGATAATCGATCATTGGTTGGCTTGAAATGGGAGAGAGAGAAAGTTAGCGAAATTATTATTCGTAATAATTAAAAAATAAATGTGAACGAGCGTTACAGCAAATACTGCCTAAATCGTCGTTCTTTTCGTTCTGTGCGTGTGTTACGCCTACGTGCCTTCGTCACGAACTTTACTCGTTTTGAAATGCGCGCCACATCCGTTTGATCGAAACAACCCATTACTTCGTATTATATCGTGGAAAGTGGATACTATAATAATATCGTAATCTTTAAACGTAAGCTTCGATTATTCCGAAGAAGAAAGAAAATACTTTTTCGTTATCTTGGATAATGATAATAATTTACAAAAATAAATACCGATCGAGCAAAATTATTTCGATTTTTTATATTTGCACGATAAATTATACGATAATTGCGAATACTTGTCTGTGATATATATAACACGTGTTTTTTATAATAAGGAAGGAAAGTTTTGGATCGTTGGAAGTTGTGGATGTTCCCTTCGGGAGAAGAATCGGATTTTTGAATCTGGACGAGAAAAATATTTGTAAAAGTAAAGCGATTATATATTCGGTTTATTTATCGGCTCGATCTGTTCGTCGAATTGGATTACTGTCGTTTTTAACTTAAGATCGAGGTCTTGATGATCGAACGAATATGAAACGCGTGAATAAATATTTCTCATCGTAATTTCAATCGTTTTACAAATCGCACAAAGTATTCCTCTCCTCCGTCAACGACCGTTACTTCAATCGTAAGCGCGAGAGAGATAACAAATGTGTTTGTAAACACGACAGACCTTGCGTGAAACACTCTTTCTTGCATTTTCGTTTCTTCGTCGTACATGATGAGCTTCGCATCGTCGCCCATGGTTACGAATTTTGGTAGATATGAGTGATAAGCCAAGCCTAGAACCTGCCTATTCTCCCGTATCGTGTAAAGGCATTGATTGGTCGGATAATGCCAACACTTGACGCAACCATTCGCATCTGCAACGATCGAACAACGCCTGGATAAATATTAAAATTAAAAGAAGGAAACGAATGAAAATTTTTCGGAAGAAACGAAGCTCCATCCGTTGTTTCTTCTCCGTTTTATTATCTATATCAGAGAAAATATTAGAAATTGTGGTGTAGCACTGACAAGTGGCAATGACGGTACGCGAGATTGGATAAGATTTGCGGGCAGGCCTGTGTTTAACCGCCGTCACCGGACTTTGCTTCTGCATTATCTCGGTATCGCGCAACACGAACTTTTCCTCGCTCGTGTTCTGATTCTTTTCGCCGTTCTGATTCTTTTCGCCGTTCTGATGCAATTTGTACAATTGCACCGCGCCATCCATCATGCCTGCCGCCAAAAAGTCATGCAACTCCGTGTAACATAAGCAAAGAATATCTTGATTGCATTCTCTGAAAAAAAATATTTTTTTTTTTTTTTTCAACAAATCAGAGAAATCAATTTTAAATTAAGAGAAATAAAAGTTTTTCCAGTATCTGAATTATTAGTATATAATCTCTAATTTATTTCGTTAGTTAGAAAGTTACGAAATCTTGTTATTGGTTTTTTTTTTTTTTTTACGAAAAACTTAATCATGTACATACAAATGTAATAAATTAATTGATCTTCGATGATGCACTTTGTAAATAAAACAAATGAATTTTTATAAGGTGAAATTCGATATTTAATGTTCGATAATTTTTTTTTTTTTTTTTTTTTCTAAATCGAAAATAGTTTCGAATAACTTGCTCTATTATTCTTTATCTTTGTTCCATACATTTGCCTAAGGAGAGTTATATTATCATCCATATAAATTTTCGTTTCTGGATCCATCGCTTTTGTCAAGGCTGACTCAACTCCATCGACACTGTTAGTAACATTATAGTTAAAAAATCATGTGTGTGTGTATATATACATATATATATACAAATAATAATAGGAAGTGAAATGGAATAACAAAGTGTTTGTAAAAATAACTTTTATACGATAATGTACAAAGTGTCGTCTGTGTGTCGTTACGAATGTATTATACCGTTGAGATTAAAAAAAAACGTACTATTCTAGATAGAATTTAGTTCTCGTTGAAACTTGGGAATTTGTTTTCGATGTTTTGTGTCCAATGGTAAGATATCATGTTATTTTATCAATTTATTAATTTTATCACTTCATTTCATTTTACCATTTAACGAATTCGAGGCTATAAAATTCCCCATAAAATTCGTTGAAATGACGATCAACTTTAGAAAACTTCATGTATGTTTGATGGGACACGTTAAGCTTTCGAACCTTTAAATTTCGTTATATCAGTTTCAAAAAGTTGCGTTAACTTGGAAATTTTCGAATACTTATGCTTTACACGTTTAAATAAAAAATAAATTAAAACTAATGTTTTAATAATGTATTCAAAGTCGTCCTATATATAATGCCATAAAGAATGCAATGGTATGGTTTAAAATATTAATTAATTTTTTATACTTTTGCGTAACAGATTAAAAATTTTCCAATTATTCTATAATTCTGAATGCGTGTGCTCCATAGATTTTAATGTAAAATGTTTGAAAAAATATTTTGTACGTTAAAAAATATAAAAATTTCCAGTATAAAATCACACGTAATTATTTCAAATGACAGGTCAAATAAATAACAATCAGTCATTTGTCTTATTATTTTATATGTAATTATACAGGCAAAATACAAAATGAACCTATCGTCCAATGTATTTTCACGCCACCTAGTCCAGAATTATAAAAATAGCAAACATCGACTAGATAAATGATTAATCGGATACCGGAATCGTTTCTTGCGCACGTAAATTGTATAGCTCAAATATAGAAGAAGAAAAGTGGAAATAAGGGAGAAAAGGATAGATATATTGTAAAAGTTATGGAATCAGCGCCATCTTCAGAGTGTTGCAAATTAAACAGGAAAAGAAAAGACAAAAAATAGTGAAAAAAGGATAGAGATAGAGTAAGAAATGATTATCAATGCCATCTCTCGAATACCAAAGACAATTTTTTAAAGAATCATTTTTCTAAAAATATTCGAGAGATGGCGCTAGTCCTCAATTCTTATTCTATCGCTGCCTTTAAAGAGATCCGTGATCCTCGAGAGATAGTATTAATGTCATATATATCTTTATATTTAATCGCGATAATAAAATTGCGCAACAATGTTTGTAAAAATTTAAAATTTTAAAAATTACACGGAAGTTTAATTTTATTTACTACATGCAATTTTTAATTATTTATTTTTTATTATATCATCGTGATGGTATAATACAAATTCATCAGTATAGATGGCGATATATTCAAGTTTATCAAGTTTTTTTTGTCGATAAAATATATTTTAAATTCTTATTATATAGTTTCATAAAATATACAAGCGTTAAATTTTTCATATATTTTATATTTGCTCAACAATTGAAATCGTTTATTCATAAGAAATAACTTTTTCTTCTTGTCACGCGAATATATATCGTGTCCGATTATTTGTGAAATATTTAATCCATCGAATGAATTAATCTCAGACAAACGCAAGAAATATTGTTAATAAAAAGAGAAAATAAGGAAACTGTTAGAAACTAAAAACTAAAACTCGTTCAGTATTGGCACGATAGACGTCGCTAGGAATGTGAAAAAGACGTTAAACGAGCAACAAACAGAGGGATCCGCCAATCAGCGCACAAGTGCGCGCGGGCTCGAGGCTTTCGAGCTCGGTAGCTGTCAGTCGGTAAGGAGTAGATTCTCCGTATAAGTTTATGCGTATTAGTTGTGAATGATCGCGTGCAAATTCGCGTTAGCTTGCACGTTTTTCGTTCGTTCTCGTCGGTTAAAATATTCGCGACAAATATGTTGAAGATCGATGTTATGTCGCCCGCGTGAACGGTAAACAGTTGCGCGGGTGAGTGTGTTGTGTTCCGAGGGAGTGTCGTTAACCTCGCGTTGAGCTCGAAGAGTCGAGGTTCCCTCGCTGGAAATCGCGCGCAGATCCTGAACGAAGCTGTCAATCTCGTGAACATCGGTGCACGACGGTCGTTCGATCAGAATGTCGGCGTCGGCCGCATCGTTCCCGGCGTCGCGACAGTGAGAACAACACATCCGGCCAGTGAACCAAGTGTCGACGAGGAAACAGCTCCAGGGTGAGCCGTTTTTCACGTTCAGAAATTTAGAGACCACCGAGGAAAATGGCGGACCTCGAGGCGGTACTGGCCGACGTCAGCTACTTGATGGCTATGGAGAAGAGCAAAAGCACACCGGCCGCTCGTGCAAGCAAGAAAATCATTTTGCCCGATCCCAGGTATATGTCGTGATATTTGTCGATCCGTCGAGCTTTTTGCCAATCCATCCACCCCAGTCTCGCCTGTAGCGATGGGAATGACGTACTCGTGAACAATGCTAAATTACATTGCAAAATATATTCATTTGTCGTTTGATATTTACGAATCTACGTAAGTTTAGAGTAGATTTAGATATTCGAACATTTTTATGGAAACGATTCTCTTTCGTAAGTTGATATTTCATCGTAATCGTATCGATCTTTTTATAGGTTACAATACGATACTAGATGCAAGGCCGCTTAAATGGTTGCATCTTGAAGGACATGCAATATGCATAACACGAATAGTTTTTAAAATATTAGTTTTGAACGCAGAGAAATATATATATATATAATTATAAATAGAATATATCTATATAAATTTTAAATATAATTTTTTTTATAATTTAATCATTGGGAACGTAGTTAAAATATCAATTCGTTATTCGTTATTCGTTAAATCATTAATATTTTTATTTATCATTTAAAAATTGAAATTAATAGTATATACATATATTTATGACAGATGGATAACTTTTAAATTAAATTCGTAATCTATTTTTATAATAAAGATTTACGATTATTAAGGATAATAAATTGATTGTACATTTGAAAATAATAATCAAATTAATCCCATCGCTACATCTCACCACGTTTCCTGCCCCTCCCTTCTTCTTTGAGCTGTTCCTTGTCTAACTCGAGTCCGGTGTCTCGATTCCTCCTTGTTTCTCCGCGCATACGTACCGATGTTTCGGTTTCTTGGCTACGCTCGTTTCAGCGCGCCATTCCAGAAAAATGTTTACAAACAATGAACGGTATCGGTTACAAGTAACGGAAGTAACAATTAAGGCCAGTCGAACAATTTTATTTTCAAGATGGAAAATCTCATTAGTGAAGGTATCGTAGTAACTACTTATTTCGAATTTTCACTTAAATATTTATTTCTCTCTGTAAAACTGGATTAATAAGTTTTTTTTTTTTTTAATAAAATGAATTTTCATAGTAATAAAAATTGTTCGTTTATTCATCTGTCACATGGATGAGATATAATATTTCGTTTAACATATAAAATGTAAAAGCGTTTTTCTTATATATAATGGAAGAGAAACGGTTAATAAACAAAAAGAATTAAATAATATAATCTAATTACAAATATGAAAAATATTGACAAAAGAAAATAAATAAAATTGCAATCTTATGGAGATTTAATTTATTGTATATGTGTGTACATATATATATTATATATATAAGAATTGTGAAAGATATTTGAATTTTTGAAATTCATCTGCATCTGTCATTTATGAATCAATTTTAAAGATTATATTCTTTTATCGAATCGCTCGAAAAACAATTTCATCAGAATTTCGTTTTCTAAAAAATCGAAATGATATAAAATTAAAAGAATTATACGCGTGTTAAATATATATTATGTATTTCACATTCGACATTCTCAGAATTAATATAAAGATTTTTTTTTAACGCTACTTTTTATAGGTGGCGTTTATTCATAACTAGTAATCATAAAAATGCTTTCTTAATATCGAAATGATAACTCCTCATAGAAGTTATTTGGAATCATCACGAATGAATTTTTTTTTTAAATTTATGAGCGTTTTCATGCAATTTATCTACGATATATATTTTATCTACGATAAAAATATTGAAATCGGTAATTTTGTGCATGAAATTATTAATATATTAAAAAGAAGGAAGAAAAAAAGATCAAATAATTACGATTATATGATTCCGTAAAGAATTTCGTAAATTTTTAGCTTTTTTTTTTTTTTATTTTTTTCGAATACTTTCAGATACTTTCACAAAGAATTATCACTTTCGTGGATAGCAATTTTTCTTTGAGCATCAGAACAGCCAATAATACTTATAAAATTTAAGCATTTAATAAAACATGTAAACAAAATTTGTCATATTATCTTCAAGAATATCTGAATATAAAGGAAATATTTTTTTATATCGTTTAATTTATTTTAAATAAAATATGAAAAATAAATTATTTTTGAAAGATTATCCTTAATTAAAGATCAATTGTACAGAATTGTTATAAGAAAATGTTATTAAGTTATAAAATTTAATCTCGTAATTTTTAAATATTAATTCGTAATTATATTACATCTTTAATATATCTAAATTTATTTCGTGTATTTTGATATATTTTTTCTGCATATCTTCATCGTATTATATTTTTATACTTAATATATTACATTCATATAAATATTCGGTTTAACAATCATTTATTATGAGAAAAATATATATTGTCCAATATCGATTTAATATCGTCAAATATAAGTTGAAAAGATAACCATTGATGACAAAGATGAATGGAAAGATTTCATCATTTCAGATGAAACAATTAATATGTAATTTTTAATTTTTTTTTCTTCTTTCTTTTATTTCAAATTTATATTATTATATCGTGTATGTATATACTAGATACATACATAAGAATTCCTTATTTGCGTCATAATGCAACCTATTACGTTTATTTGTTCTAAATATAGCATATTGCATAGTACATATATGAATTCAAACAGATAAGAAAATTATATTTCATTTTTAATACTTCTAATATCAACTTATATTTCGATGTTTATATCTTATTTTTTTATTGAAATCAATTATAGAATCAAATATAATAAATAAAAATAATATAATAAAATAATATAGAAATATTGTAAAATTTTTGTCATGGATGATTAGTTAAAAAATTATAATTATCGTGTCCAAAATATCTTTGATTTTTTTTTTATTTATAAAAAAAATATAATAAAATTTATTTCTAACTTGCCAGAATTTCGATCGATATATTGAATAAAAATGATCTTTGATGATATTTTTGTGATTTGTATTAACAATTCTCTTTTTGCAATATTTCATCGAGTATCGATATTTTTATCAAACTTACAGAGAATTGGAAAAATAAAATTTCAATTAATATTTTCCAACATTTTGTTTACTAACATTGTGCCATTGGATGATTGGCAACGCGTTTTTCAATTATTTGTAATTAATGTATATATAATATAACGTAATCAATCATTTTTATTAGTCTATGATTATGAGTGATGTAACAAAAGAATAAGAAAAAATTACAGAATATATCATGGATTCGTAAACATATGTAATATTCATTTAATTTTCCAATTAGAATGTAAGAGATTATGTAACGTGTTTGTATTATAAAATAATTAATGATACACTATGCTCGAAATATTATATAATATATACAAAACATTAAATTTTACCCTATTTTTCTTATATTTTTTTTTTTTCCATCGCTGATCAAATATTATTTGCTAATGTGTTCGCATTATGAACACAAATTACATAAATTATTCGCAATATGAACCGTACATTAGGTGTCATATCTATTCTGTAATTCATCCGTATGACCTCCAAATTCCTGTGACAAAAAAAAAAGCATCGCATTAAAAGTTTATTCTACATATATTCTGTGTATATTCGTCTATAGTATATTATGTTATATTACGCCATTGCCACTATCACAAAGATTGCAACGTAATAACAATTGAAATCTAAACTAAGATATCATTATCATTATTAATAATAAGATATAATAGAAAACATCTTGAAATTTTATTTTTAAATTTACAAAAAAAATCATTCGTTCTCGAACAATTGAATAATTTTTTTTTTTTTTTTAATACTATTTTTCACAAAATTATCTAGGTCGATTTCTCGATATTTTTTCGAGTCTCGACCTGTTTTCACAACAGTCCAATCACGATGATAAGTGCGACCATAAGTGTGACTCTCTTCGCTCTACTATATTATTTTTAGGAAATGAAATATATA